TAGCACAACCCCAACTTTCGTATCACAGTTGTGACATAACAGAATTAAGAGGCCCAAGAAGGAGAAGTGAGTGAAATCTTTACCAGCAAAACTGAAAACCCGTATTATTTGATGGGCGAACATTTCCAGTCTGGCCCCTCCCCCACCCCTGCCTATGCAGAAGGTTACTCTGCGGTTTCACATCTAGCTTCTGACACCCCCTCCGGCAATACTGGCGGGAGCTACCCTTTTGACTCTTAGAATTCTGCCGTGGGTGATTTTTAGAAGAAAGAAAATTGCAAGGAGAGGAGACTTAACTAAAGAAGAAAAGTGGGATATGGGGCAGGTCACAGGGCTCATTTCAATGTACCACCAGCTGAGTTAGATCCAGACTCTAGGTGGCTGGTCTATGAAAACCATCGTCAAACATGGTGAAGTCTGGTAATAGAATAAAAAAAGAGGAAGACGTGGCCCATACCGTTCTGCCATCCCAAGTTGTTAAAGCAGAACAGAATTGCAGTAAAACCTTGGATTGCGAGTAAAGTGGTTTGCAAGTGTTCTGCAAGACGAGCAAGCATTTCTAATACATTTTAACATGGTAACCGAGCGATGCCTTGTAATACGAGTAGTTTGTTTCTGGAACGAATTATGCTTGCAAACCAAGGTATTACTGTATTCCTCTCAAGCTTCCGTTACACCATATTAAAAAGGGAATCCAAATATCCTATTATTCTTGACTCCAAGGAACTGAAGATGCTGAACAATATGAGGCAGGTCCTCCATAGTCACCCCCCACTGCTGACTCAGCACCCCCTGTAAGCGCCCCTGAACAGAATCTTGGAGGGAAAAGGAGTTGGGGCCTTGAACCAACCCAGCGATGTGCAGATTTCACCTCCACCGCTTAACCGCTTGCTCGGACTGTAGAACCTTTCTGTGCCTCCATTTCTTCATCTGTAAAGATGGGGATAGTAAGAAGGGCTGTAAAGAGAATTAAATGAATTAGCACAGAGGTACAGCACTTGGCGACCACCTGCTGTGGATAACGGCTTCGTCAGCATTAGGTGGCGGCTGTTTGGTGTCAACATTTTGAAGAGCTGAGACAAACATAACCTCCCTCTTTGTGTCCAGTAATTTACCATTTTTTAATTATTATTATTATTATTATCGTTTAATTAGTAATCCTCCCTACTCCCACAAAGACTCTGTGGGTTAGTTTTCCTGGGAAAGGTGGGCTTTGAAATGAAAATGAGAATGAGCTTGCAGGCGGTGTCTTGGCAAAGCTTCCCAAATTTCTCCCTGGTAAGAATTACTCTGAACCATGATTTTGTCCCAGGAGCACCAGTCACTTAAAAGAGAGTGAATGGTGTCCCCTGAGGCCGGCGCACAGCCAGGCCTGGGTTCTGGTGAAATGTACAGATTATCAGACCTCTCTCCTGGAAACCGATTCAGGTGGCCAGGCTCGGAACCCGGGAATCTATATTTTAAACAAGCATTCTAGGTCATTCTTGTCTTAGGAGGAAGGGTTGACACTACAGAGGAATTCTCGGGGGGAAAATTGGTAGAGAATGAGAGGCAGACTCAGAGGAAAATTGAGCAGCCCCAGCAAAGATGATATTGAGTAAATCCATGAGAGGTGGTGAAGAAAAGAGGCACCGAGGAAGAAGCAAACACAGGGAGCTTGACTTGGTGGCCACTGGAGACCAGCGTCTCTTTCAGAAAAGAGGATTATAATGTCTATTCTGTTAGAAGGCTTCCTGAAACTAGAAGTAACCATGCCTGGGCTGTGTATGGTGTTCCCGTGGTTACGGCCTTGGTAGTCACATAGCTCTAGGCCAACCTGATGGTGAAATTGCCAGAGGAAATAAAAGCTACCAGAGATGGCGTGATTCGCTCGCTTTCCACTTTGCACTCGTACTGTACCCAGTGCACCTTGGCCGTGGCTGATGCTGGAATCACCTGCCAAGCATCTTTCTACCTCTTTCCCAGACCAGTGAAGCCAAGACCCACAGGAGCAGGGCCTGGGCATTACACTCGTAACCTCTCCCTGTGGATCTAAGGAGCAGCCAAGGTGAGAACCGTTCAGCTGGAAGAGTGGTTCCCAGCCACGGCTGCAGGTTAGAATCACCGGGAGGTCCTTGGGAACTGCTGATGCCTGAGACCCCTCACTGAGATTCCCCACTGAGTTGTTTTTGGGTGGAGCCTGGCCTTTCGAAATTTTAGAAGTGTACCAGGTGTTTGCCACGTGCAGCCCAGGTTGTTACTCGGCCAGACTTCCTTGGTTATCTACAACCACTGAACAAACCAGTTTGCAACTGCTTTTGAAGTTTAAATCCATCGGTTGGTTTTGAGAGCGAAGAGTAGGCTAGGATTAGCATGAAGGGACAGGTCCCTTTCGGAAGCTGATGTTGAGAGGTGACCCCTCTATCCAGAGCACATCTGCATTGCTCTGATCACTCAATGTTCCTGAACTTTGGGGATAGCCAAGTCCTCAAGTCATTGATCCTACCTCTCTCTGGTCATTTGGGGTCAGTTATTTCCCAGAGAGGGCCCTAGGTAATCCATTTATGGGCTAAGATAGATTGTTAGGCTTAGAGTTCAAATGGGGACAAACAGACCATAGGTAAAAATGGCATAACACAGGGGACATAGGCACCACCGTGAGGCCTGCCCGTTATAATTTTACCAGAATTCCTCTGTTGACCTGACACATGGGCCACCCCTCACCAGGCTATTAACTCAATAGGCATTTCCTACCTATTGTACTTATAATCACTTGATGAAAGGGTAGTTTAGAGGGAACGGTGGTCACACAAGTTGACTCCATGTAATTAATGAGCTCTATGCCAAGGTGCTTTTCTGAGATGTTAGGGTAACCGTCATCTCAGAAAAGTATACCTTTGTCTATATACCTTCGTTAGGGTCACCTGGGAAATGGTGGGATTGCTTGTACGGATTAGGGGAAAAAAAGTCAGCCCAGAATTGATACATCCCAATGGCTACCATTTTTGTACAAATATTTTTGTAACTTCTTTTTGGCATTGCTGCACAGTCCATGACATAGCCTTTAAAATATCACTATTGGTGAGAACTCTGTATGTTTCGATGTAGATTTGATTTAATAGAAATCACCAGAGCCAACTCTTTCAAAGACAGTGAGTCATCAAAGAGGATGATCATGATCCTTTGTTAGAAATTTGCTCAGGAGTCCTAAGACACCCTGAAAAAAAAAATTAAAAAATGCATAGGTTCCCTAAAAAGAAAAAAAAACAATAAGAAGGAAATGGAGAAATTGTGGCATTTTGTAAAAGTGAGTCTATAGTGTTGGCAAGTGGGATGCAAGGCAGCCGTGTCTTCTAGGATTAGAGAGCAGACACTAGATAGAGCCCCCTAACTAAGGAGGCCCCTCTCTTAGGTAAGTGAATGGCTTCCCCAAGAGCTTGCCCCTGTGGATTAGCCAGGGGACCGTTCTGTTACAGTCTTCTCCTTGTGAGCACACTACAAACAGAGGTCCTTCCAACAGCTTGTTTGGTCCACCCAGAGTATCACACCTGTAATTTGAGGAGCCCGTGTGTTACTGTCCCTTGAGTAAGTCACAGGTGAGCAAGTCAAAACACATATTCATCAAAACACCTTCATTTTTAGGAACATTAATCTTACTGCTCCTCAAACTTGGGAATTTTGATGCTGGATATTGACAGGCCTCAAAAACGTTGTGTCAGAGCGTAAAGATAGTAAAAATCCAATGACAGTAACTTTTAGTGTTTTTAGAGAGGTGATAAATGGACTTAGTTGTGACTTTTGTCATGTGGGAGACAAACATAAAAAATATTATTCTCAGAGCGTGTGTAATTTTGTTTAGATTTAAGTGGTGCGGAAATGACTAGAATTTTCAACTGAATGTTAAATTCTAGTGAATTTGCAAATGGCAGCTCTATTTATATTCCAGGGTGTACCTCTTGCAACAGTAAAACTTTCTTAAGATGTTTTAAGAAATGCTCAATCACTAGATACTTTTTGAAGCATTTGAAACATTTGAACAAGACCAATCAAACTAAGAGCTAAAAAATGCGTTTGTCTTGGTTCTTGATGATCTATATGCACAGTAAAATCTAACAAATGAGAGCTAGAAGGCTCTACACTGCTGTTTCGGAGCCATTTAAGAGCCTAGCTAATTTCACTGGGGCATTTTTATAATCTACCTGACACAGATGTTCTTTTTTCTAGAGAAATAAACAGTACCTCTGAATTAGAATGCATTACATTGTGGAAATGCCACAGCTGAAAACATCTTAAGAGAGTTTTATCATCTTTCTGGATTTACTAAATCAAAGTAAAATGGCATTTTCTCTTTTTATTTTCTTTTAGTGCGTCATTAAAAATAATTTGGCAAGACAGGGCTTATTTCAATTGATGAGTTCTCTTACCTTCTTTATGTAGCAAGACTAGTTTGGTGAGGAAATTATTATCCATAACATGACACCATGTAGCATTCTCTTCTGAAATGATGACAGTTCTTTTCCTTTCCTTTTTTTTTTTAAATAGTTTTTTTTTTTTTGGTGTGACGTCCATAATAATGAAGCCTGAGATTTCATGATTTTCATAGCTAGTTGCAATATACTCTTTTTTTTCTTGTAATAGATAGTCTATAATATTTTAAAATGTATTCTCCATATAAAAGCACAGTTAGAAATCCATATAAGCACAGTGTGAAATGCCCTGGCCTTAGAAACACTTCCTGGCATGACATTTGGTAACACACAGCATTAATATTTCGGTGCAATAGCTTGTACATGGTCCATATTCTGACATCACCATGATTTCGTTGATGAGGTGCCCGCATGCCTATTTCATGATCTTTCTAAACTCTCTTGAGTCCGTCCTGTATCAACACATTCCTTGCAACATCCATTCCAACGCAGCACCCTTCCCCGCCCCCCCCCATCTGAATACATCGAACCAATTGGGAGAGAGCGCATCTCCCCCTGAGCGAGCAGTATTGTGAATTTTATCTTCTCTTCCAGAAATCAGTTCGTCTTCGTTGCAGCAGATGAAATTTCTTGTAACACCTCTGCAGGTAACAAACATTGCTACTTCTTGGTGCATCCATTCACATCTCAATATCCTTTTTTTTTTTTTTTTACCCCCCTTTTCCTTCACATGCTGCAGTTGGTCACTCTAGAAAGTTTAGTTTAAAAAAAACAACAACAAAGTTCGTATATCTTGGGCGTATAGTTGAAGCCTTTATTCTCTGCTATCTAAAAAAGACATTAGACATTTTTCTAACTTTGGTATTTTATTTCCGGTTTTAATAACACATGGTCCAGAAAAGTAAGGCTGTTGAATGAAGCCACAATAAAGTCTTATGGTACAATCAGTGCTCTTCTGTTAAAATCCTGGCCAGAGGAGGTGAGGGACACACACATGTGACTTCTCTGTTTTTTGACGTATTATGCCTGGGTTCACAGAGATTTATATGTGAATTATATGGGATCTTTATGGAATGAACTGGTAGATGATAGGCCCCAAAAGACTCAATCTATAAAGCTAGAGGTATTGAGGGAGTATAATTATCTCTGTCTTATACGCAAGAAGGGCATCTTCATTCCATTAGTTAAAGATCCTCTGTCTCCTTTCTTTTGAAACATATTACAAGTAGCGGGACTTAGAGACACAGAGCTTTCTGCTTTGGAAATCAGGACATTGGCGATTGGAAATTGCACCCTGCATGACACGCCCATCACAATAACACCTGTCTTTTTACTTTGATGTGGTTCAGAGCAGTTAAATCTGGAGTTTCAGTAGCATGGAATTACTTGAGTAAATGTCAAGATAGGTGAGTGCCTTAACTAACAACAGATTTTTATTATTATCTTCTTTTTTTTTAATTTTTTTAAAAATTTTGCCTTTAAGCCTAAACTGACCACAGCTATAGTCACTGGATCTCACGAATGTGTTGCTGTTAGCCAACGAGCGTGCATGTTACAGCTCATCCACATGTAGCTGGCTATGCCATGACCTTCAACAGCATACATTAAACCGAACCATACAAATAGACACTCATCTGCTACCAATCACATTTGATCCACGGAGCAATCAACAGGCGTACTGGTTTCACTCCTTACTTACAGTGTTTGGAGAGAAATAGCTAAAAGGGGGACAGAGAGCTAAGAACATGTCCCCAGCCTCCTCTGTTCTAAACAGCAGGGCCACAGAAAACTCTGTGTTAATTTCATCGCTGTAGTGAGTCTCAAGGTTTTCAGTGGATTAAAGTCTCACCCTGGGAGTTGAAGGGGTGCTTACGCATGCTCATTTTTTAAAGGGACAGCGTCCTCCATGTCTCTGAAACCCCTTTGAGGATGGTCCGCCTCAAGCCTTAGCCTCAAGTATCCCTGTCCCTCCCTGTGAGAAGTGGTGACATCCAGAACTAATGCCTAACAGTAGAAGAGTGACAGCTACATTGCTGGGGGTGGCAGGGGAAATGGTCCTGGGATACAAGGGTCATGTAACATTTTCACAATTTTGAGAAGGACGCATGCTCCTAAAAGGGAAACTGCTTGGGGTTTTTTTGGAAGAATGTTGGTTTAAAACGTGAATTGCCATCATTCGTGCAGACGCTGGTCTTCCAGAACCTCTTCCTTTCCTGTTAAGCTTGATACGTGTCCCAGTGTGTCTGAGGTTATACTCTGATGTCATAAATCAAACATTGCAAAGTTACAACCCGACAGGTACATGATTGACTTTTGTCCCGTGACCTAACAAACCCTGCCTTGTAAGCAAGTGGTCCGCACACAATATCCCTAAAAGAGGCTGCAGAGAATGCAAGTTTGCCCGAGTAGAGCGAGGGTTTTTCACCTACCTTATCTAATTCAGGATGGCTGCTCAGTAAATTCTTAATGAATTGCTATCGATCAAATTTCAAATTGAGAGAGATATCCCTGTTGCTTTGATGGCCATATTAATAATGTGTTGTATGCTTCATAAGGTTCAATTTGAACTCCAAATTTTTGAATCAAGCATGAAAAAGGAGACACCCATATCAATCAAAAGTCAAATTATCCCCCAGCCAGTCCACCCTCCTCATAGAGTGAAAATGAAAAATCAGACCAGCTCAGTCAATAAAGTTTGTGACTCACAGTTTCAGTGAAGGCTACCAGGGCCTGATCTCCCACAGGCTGGGAAAACCGAGGACTTCTACATTCTAAACATCACAACTGTCACCTGCATTTTCCTTAGGGTGGGTCTGTTAATCCTGGTATCTCCTGGATTACAGTGTTTGAAAAAAGGCCAACTTCTGTCTCTTTAAAGGAAGAAAGAAGTCAATGAGATGCTTAAAAAATCTCAGTTTGCAGGGCTTGATGGATATTATCACTGAAATTTTTAGGGACACCGACGGATATTTCTTTCAGTTCCCACAGGGAAAGTGATGGTGTTTACGTGGGTCTCTTGCAGAGGATGCCAGAATGTCAATCCTGCTTTTGCTAGCCATGCAGAAGAAAACATTTTTTTTTTCATTAGCGTTGGTGGCTGATGTGACTGTGTTTACAAGAAAATTTATTTTCCGACTCAGGGCCTCCAAAAACGGTATTAGGTGTTGTTTCGGTTGTTCTGGAAAGACATGTGCTTAGGTAGGTGTCCCAACTAGTTCCTCCACCGTGAATGCTCCCCCAGCTCCTCAGACTGTGACATCAAGAACCTTTGATGAGTTGGATTCTGCAAAAGATGCTCAAAGGGGCAAGATAATTCTCCCTTCTTCTGACGCTTGACGTCTCCCTGCTGATGTGATGCACTGGGCTTTTCCAGGGCTGCTGTAGTAGAACTGTGAATCTTTCACAAGCATGGAGGTAGAAAAGCAAGTTACTAATTTTGACAAAGCAGCTGGAAATTCCTTTCAGTGAATTGATATGTCTGGAGCCATTGCTGTGTATCAGCCCTCGGGACATAGCATTAAATAAGTCAGGAGAAGCCCTTCCTTTAAAGAGCCTCCGATCTAGTGCAGATCGGACCCTAACCATGTAGATGAATAAGCATATAATGTACTAGCATTTAAAATTATGCTAGTACAATAACGAATCAAAAAGCAGGGGAAGGGATGGGAAGTACCATGTGACACTGCTTATACTGATCAGAGGAGGCCTCTCTGTCAGGGTGACGTTTGAGCAGGGACCTGAATCAAGTCAGGGTGTGAGCCAGGTAAGTAACTGCGGAATTAGAAGCATTTCAGGCGGCATAAGCAGCACGTGCAAATGTCCTGAGGTTGAGGCTGTCTGATGTGCCCAAGCACAATAAGATTCCCAGTGCGGCTAGAGCATATGCGTACAAATGAGAATTTTAGAGACAATATCAGGAAGACAGCCAGGGGTCAGAACAAACTACGACTTGGAGGCTATGGAACCATTTGAGAGTTTATTTTCAGTGAGATAGGAAGGCATTGGAGGGACAGCTGTGGTCTGACTTATTGTTGAATGCCGAGTTAGGCTGCTTTGCAGAGAGTGGACTGCAATTCGGCAAAAGCAGAAAAAAAAGGGCCCCAGTTGTGTGTCTCTCGCAGCACTCCAGGCAGGGGTGACAGTGGCCCGCGTTAGTGCGATGTCTGTAGAGGAGCTGAGAAATGGCTGTCTTTGGGCTGTATTTTGACAGGTGAACAAACAAGCTATGCTGGCAGTTGAGAAAGTTACCAGATCCAGTTTGTGTTAAATGTCCCTCTTGCTCCCAGGGTGTATCCGTTATTTCCAAGGAGGGCTGAGGCTTTTTGTCACCGGGAAAGCAAGCCCTTCATCTCTGCAGTAATTGTAACTCACATGGGCTTCGCTGAGTTCTCCAGGGTGTAGTAGTGACTGGCTGTCATTTATTGCGCAAATTCTGTGTGCTAGCAAGTGTGATCAATTGTATATATACACAAAGGGTGCCCCCAAAATGTATACACATTTTAAGAAAGGAAAACTGTGGTAAAATCGTAATACTCGATATATGCCAATAACAAAAGATAAATGCAAGTCACATTTGACTTCTGCAATGACAAGAGGTGCTCAAAATGGTTACCATCAGCGTCCAGACACTTCTGATGACGGCGAACTACTGCTTGAGCAACGTTGAGCAAAGCGTCCACTTGTATACATTTTGTTGGCACCCCCGGTATATATACACATATATACATACATGTGTATATATGTATGTATGTATGTATATAGAGGCATGCATATAAAATTTATTACAACAGCTCAGTGAAGTCAATGTTACTGTCATCCTCGTTTTGCAGGTTCAAAACCAAAACCAAAAAAAATGCTCAGGCTCAGAGGGGTTTGGTATCTTGCCCGCCCTGGAGTCCATGTGATACCAAAGCTTTTCCCATTGGGCCACACTGCTCCTGCAGCCCCCATGTGCTCCTTTTATCTTGACTCCGACACATTGACCTTGCCCTCCAGATGGAATTCCCCTACTTTCTTCAGCTGTGCTGTATTGCTCCTGGAAAACTAGTGTTTGTGGGTTGCACGAGAGGACACAGTTGTGAAAGCTTCGAGGGGACCCCACGGGGACGGAACGGTTCTCTAAACGGTCGTTCCACTTGGCCCGTCCCCTTTGGACAGCAGATGTACGTTGTGTCTGGGATGTGATGGGCACTGATCTGGGTGTGGAGATGGAGCAGCTGCCTTGTTGGGGCCACTCCATATATCCAGGGAGACAGAGGGTTCAACAAGCAATGTGTGGTCTAGGTCAGTTCTCCAAAAATCTTTCTTTTGCTGAAAATCAGTGGCTCAAAATCAACTAACAGTTTTCGTTCCCTGAAAGACACTTTGAACTAGTTGTTTTGGCTGCAGGGTCCAGGCTCTCGGCTGCCCCCTGACTGAGAGAATGTGTGCGCGTGTGCGTGTGTTTATGGGCTGCAGGTGGAGGCTGGCTTTTGGTCCAGCAGCAAGTCTTGGCCCCTCCACCACACCAGGTACCATCGTGGTGGTGTGGGAAGCCAGGCTGGGGACACACTCCCAGTCCTTATGAGTGCGGATACAGATATGTGGTGGGAAGGTGGCGGCCTGTGAAAAAGCCAAATGAACACATCTGCAAAAGCTGTTGAAACCA